TGTGTGTGTGTGTGTGTGTGTGTGTGTGTGTGTGTGTGTGTGTGTGTCTTGTGGAGGTCCAGATGCGGTTTCTTGTGGACCAGATGAAGAGACCGGACTACATGGATGCTCTGCAGAACTACACCTCTCCTCTTAACCCTGCACACCAACTGGGAAACCTGAGGTTAGAAGCAATAGTGAAAGAGCTTGTGTGTGTGTGTGTGTGTGTGTGTGTGTGTGTGTGTGTGTGTGTGTGTGTGTAATGGTGTTTGTATGTGAATAAGTGGGGTTGTGAAACAAGATTGACATTGTCTAATAACTTTTATTAATTTGTGCATAGGTTAGATGAATGCAGGATCATGTCATCAGCCAAGAGACCGCTGTGGCTGAACTGGGAGAATCCTGACATCATGTCTGAGCTGCTCTTTCAGAACAATGAGATCATCTTCAAAAATGGAGATGGTAACACACACACACACAGACAAAATACATATTTTTCCTCTTATTTGTGCTATTGATCAATCGAGAGTGTTTTGCTGTGAGTTACTGAGTGTTGGAGATGTCGTCCGTAGAGATGTCACTCGACTCGTGGTGCTCAAAGCTCAACCTCGTTGTGAGCAGTTTCATGTAGGAACTATTTTCTTTCTACCGAACTACATCTGCCAGCTGTATCACCACGCAGAAGGAAGCATTTATCTACTCATGGACGAGAGGCTATAGTACTTGCATCAGCGCAACATGTAAACTTTAATGGCGCCCCCCCTCTGCTGAGCTGTAACGTCAGCTAGCTCAGTGGTGCTAGGTGAGCTAGCAGTATCGGTTCGCTTCGTTCTGCGAAGGGGTACAATTGGCGAGTGTATCATATTGAAAGTTTTCTCTCACTCCGAGCACCGTATGCCATTAAAAGAAAATATGAAAGTGTTGGCTCGGTATGTACAGGAACACCGATTCACTGCTCCTGACTTGTGCAATAAAGCGATGTGACATATTCAGTCCCAATCCTAAATGTTGACACAAGTTGTGAATTGTAGTTTCACATTCTGCAGAGCTTCTTGGTAATAGTTGTCTACTATAATCAAACTAACTTGTCTTTATGTTGTGTTTGTGTATAATCTGTCAGTATCCCCGGATGTTATTAACTGTAACTGCCTTCATTGTGCGTGTTTTTGTTGTAGACTTGCGACAGGATATGCTGACGTTGCAGATTATTAAAATCATGGAGAACATTTGGCAGAATCAGGGACTGGACCTTCGGTACTTTTCTCTCTCCTATTATCTAAGTCTATGTGTCTTTTTCTCTCTTCAATTTCTTTACTCTCTCACTCTGGGGCTAAGAACACATGTGCTGTGTGTCCCCAGGATGCTTCCTTATGGCTGCCTGTCGTTAGGAGACTGTGTGGGTCTCATTGAGGTGGTTCGCAGCTCCCACACCATCATGCAGATTCAGTGTAAAGGAGGCTTGAAAGGAGCCCTGCAGTTCAACTCAAACACTCTGCATCAGTGGCTGAAGGACAAGAATAAGGGCGAGATGTGAGTTCTTCTCTCCTGATCTTATTTTTTTACAGCATCATGGCACCAAAAAGAAAATTGATTAGAGTCACAGCCCATTTACTTTTAAATATTTTCTCACTTCTTATTTGTTATAAAATGTACTTGTTTGTGTTTGTGTGTGCAGGTATGACATGGCTGTGGATCTGTTTACGAGGTCCTGTGCTGGCTACTGTGTAGCTACATTTATCCTCGGGATAGGAGACAGACACAACAGCAACATTATGGTCAAAGATGATGGACAGGTAACTTGTATATGCCGACACACAAAGCACTACATTTTAGTGAAGGGTTTTTACACGTGGCTAATCTGATGATAGAATTGATTAAGCTACTTTGTCTAGCCTGCTTCATGAAGGTTCGTTGTTTTCATTTTTTGTTTCATTTCATTGAATTTATCAGGGATTTGTTATTGTCCAATTCATGTTTAATAAAACAAAAGTGTCTAAGTCGATACACAGTGGGTGTACAGTGTATAGATTTTACTTTAGAGGAGGTTGACGTGTTAGAGAGAGTTACTGAAGTTTGACTTCCTGCTGTCTTCTTTGTTCTGCTCTCGTCCAGTTGTTTCATATAGATTTTGGCCATTTCCTGGATCATAAGAAGAAGAAATTTGGCTACAAGAGAGAACGAGTTCCCTTTGTTCTGACGCAAGACTTCCTCATCGTCATCAGCAAGGGATCCCAAGAGTGTGCAAAGACCAAAGAGTTTGAGAGGTACTGCAGCATCTTAACTCCCAACTAGTATCAGTCAGTCTGTGGGTTAGACGACTCCCAGAACTTGTCTCTTCTTATCCTGTTGTGAGATACTGCCACAGCAAAGCTTTGCTCTCTCCCCCCAGGTTCCAAGAGATGTGTTATAAAGCCTACCTGGCGATCCGGCAGCATGCTAACCTCTTCATCAACCTGTTCTCCATGATGCTGGGCTCTGGCATGCCTGAGCTGCAGTCATTTGATGACATTGCCTACATTAGGAAGACGCTGGCCCTGGAGAAAAGCGAACAGGTAATACAACTTTTCTGTGCTCTAATTCATTCTGCTCTCGTCTTATTTTGGGGTCTTGAAATAGTCTCAAGTCTCACATTTGGCTTCCTGAAACCGCTGCAAGGATTTTGTATCTACTTATTTATCGCTTTGATTTTTATTCTGCTATGTGCAGGAGGCGTTGGACTACTTTATGAAACAGATGAACGATGCTCACCATGGAGGATGGACCACCAAAATGGACTGGATATTCCACACAATTAGACAGCATGCACTGAACTGACCGCCTGCAAACCAACAAAAAGACACCAGTCCCACCCTGGAGTAACAGGAAGTTTGCAGTTTGACTTCATTTTTTTTTTTTTCCACCATTTTTATTTATCCGAATGAGGTTCCGTTGTTTCTTTGTTTTCTTTCCATTATCATCTGCCTGTTTCTGCGGTCTCGATGCCCTCACTTTACCCTTTACCTTTTTTGGAGTCGACAAGAGAGCATTGTCCTCATGTCCTATTGAAGATGTGCCCGACCTGGATGTTTGAATCCTCCGCTACTATGTTTGCTCTGTTTTTTCCCCCCCAACAGAAACAAACTGGATAACTTGTTTGGAGTAATTTGACCCCTTACTCTTGCTGGAAAAAAACGATCATTGGACAAAACAGCGTAAAGAAGATGTATCTGCCAATCTTTAAATGTAGCCACAAAGTAAGTTCAACTTGCTGCCCTTCTGCACTGTGGCTCCGCCTCAGAAAGGAGGCGCTTGGGAACGTTGTTTTGAATCGCATCTCTGCTGAGAAGATAGCAGGCACAAGGAACGTATCTTACACAATAAGTGTTTATCAAATTTGTTGCACAATGCAGGATTACTGGAGTATGGGGTCTTCTGTGATGACTACCACTGCACAGTCTTCCACCATATTTGTGGTGAAGTTGCCCTCCTGAGCTGATTTGGTGTCAGCTTTTCCGCCTTTTAAACCTTTGTGAGAAAATGTCAAAGCTCAAAAACTGCAGAAGAGTCTCTGGGTTGTTTTGCTCTACAGTCTCCCGGGCCGCGATGTAAAAGCACCCCACCCTTGGGAACATTTGTTGGTGGTGCAACTTTAGACTCTAATATGAACTTCAGGGTATTGATGCCTCTCCATAAAAAAAAAAAAACAGCACTTACAAATAATATACAGATGTAATATGCCTTTTTGAATTTACTTATGTATCCAGTTTCGTTCAGTTTCTACGTAAACAGTCAAAACTTAACTCTCCACAACCATTGCTGTCGTAAATATAGTTTTTTGTATTTCTGTTGACCAATTTGCTTTCTTCTTCTGACGACCATAAGTGCAAAAACCTTTCTCTTTTTTCTCGACGATTATTTAGTTTTGCTCACATTCGTATAAATTAAGACTGCTGATTCCTTTTTTTGCCTCCGTCACTTTTAATTAAGGTAAACATCTCATTCGGCCTATCCAGTAGCCCGATTTGTGTTATTGTGGCTAGTGTGCAGCCCTACTTGGATTTGTTTGGGGATGCAAATTGATAAGAATGGAAGTGCCAGTCTCACTTTGTATGACTACTGGGACCTGTTTTAAGCCTCTGGCTGTCTGTTTTATTGGCGAGCAGAAGTCCAGGGGAATATTATGTCTTCCTGTTGATAAGATGCCTTGGCACAAAGCTCTACAAACGCTGCCTCAGCATGTTGTAGTGAGCAAACCATAACAGCACTTTTTAACATGAAAAGCTAGATCTGATCTGTGAATCATTCTTTTTATTTTTAACCATGTGAGGCTGATCGTCTTTAGCATGTCTCCCATTAGAATGTCTTTAAAATGTCGACTCATGATCAAAGTGCATTTTAACGTGTGTTTGTCACATCTGGGGTATATTTTTTGATCCAGAACACCGTCCACTGACGAGCCCATAACACTTGGCAGTATGTTGTGTACTGTTGTCATAGCCATGCTCCCAACAGGATCATTTCAGCCTGTAGCTTTTTCAACATTATAAAGTCAGTAAAAGGGATTTAAACAAATCTTTCAAATTTGATTGGATCACAAGCTAGGATCACAGCTTGTTTAATGCATTTTTGTTTCATGGTGTCATTTAAGCAGGCCATTGTCGCCTTGTCTTTTGGTATAGGTAGTTTTCTCGGAAAGTATACTTACGTAAGGTGTTTTTAAGAGAAACCTTGAGGGACAGTAACGGAGAGAATGTATTTTTCATGAGCCCCAGACGCCTTCACATTGTACCTAGAGAGATATTTGGATGTGCTCCTAGCTAAACTGTTCTCTTACTTACAGACAGTATGAAACTCAATCTGCCAGTGGAAAAGAAAGTCAGCACTTTGCTCACCTGTTGATTGTATAGAAAAGTCAAAGTGGTAGTCCGCTCTGATGTGATGTCACATTATTGCAAGAATTAACTGCTGGAATGTATTTAATTGCTAACATGGACCTTACGTGCACTCATCTTTTAATGTTTTTTTTTTTTTGCATCATTCATGTTTTCTTTCTCATGTCAGAGGCAGAGCCACTAAACATACACTAGGTTATTAGCAGAGAGCTCTTCTCTTCTTCTTTCTTCTTTTAATGTGCCAAATCAGGCATCACTGAGGCCTACGGACGCTAATGCTGGAATCACATCATGCAGTAAGGGATATCAGTTACAGACTTAAAGAAGAAAGAGGCTGGGCAATGCACTTAAAAAGACTAGTTGTTGTTGTACTTCTCAATGCCTTTTTGTCCAAAGGGACACTGTAAGATGTTAGCCTAGTAAGCATGTTTCTCAAACAGCATAACCAGTTCTTATGATGTACATTTTGAAGCAGCATTAAGCAGTATGTATGTACAGTTACAGTCAGACCTCTTCTCTGGTTGTGTGTGTGTGTTTGTGTCCATTAATTGTCTTTCTGTACCGGTTGCAGAGCTTCATTGGCAGGCCCCAATGAAAACCCACACTGTATGTACATGTGTCTGTTTGTGACCACACTTGACTGTTCAAGTTGTGGCATCTCTAAATCTTTTGTAAGCACCGATTGTTGAAGCTTTGTGTTTGTTCGATGCTGGCAGTGATTGTTATTAGTGCCACAGTCCTACATTTCATAGTGAAGACGCAATCACTTCTTGAACTAAAGTTGTTCTCGAGTCTAAATTTCCAAGATCAGGTTCAGTGAGAACTATGACAAAGTATCTTACAGGGTTTAATAAGATTTAATAATCTTAGATGTTCATCCTCAACCTCCAGATCATAAGAATTACGTCCAGCAGCTAAGTTATAGTTCTCACATCTCCTCAGAGCATGTTCGTTTGTTCGCGCTGAATTGGTGCAGGAACGATGTTGTTGCACTAGTATATTTAAAGCCCGTATTTAAAAATCTGCCCGACAGTATTCAACAGATCAACGTCCTGCAGGAGATTGAGTATCACATAGTGAGACATAGTTGTTGTACCTGCAAGATGTATACAAGCTAGGGTGAAGTTGGAAATGGTTGAATATGTGCAGTGAAATACTGTCGGACTATCTTTGACGTTTAGTCGAGAGGAGGGAGCTCCCAATTCTGTTTAGCCGCTCTTCAGTTATTGCCCGTGCCTTGCATAATGAATCATAGGATCTGAGCTATGATTTCAACATGAGCAGTGGACATAATAATGTGAACACCCAGATGTAATGAAATTCAATGCAATATCCATGCAGTAAATACTACTTACGTGTATTTATTCTAAGGTGTTTTATGTTACTGCTTTTGTTTGTTTGCGTGATGGACAGGTATTCACGTTATTGTGTCCACCACCTGTATCAATATGGGGCCTGGTATTAAGGGAATACGTCTTTTTTTCTTTCTGTCAAACTTGAAAGAGTGTCCAGGGTTTTAAAGTGTTTTAAAGAGCAAATATGAGTAATCATTACAATTATTGATCATTTGTGATCATCTGAAGTATCCTAAATTCTCACTTTGAAGAGAAATATGGACTAACTGGTCTGTGGCTTCATGTTATTTTCTGTATGCAGTGTTCTTAGCTACATTATGATTTTCGCTAATATATTTCCACAACATACCATGCTGTCAGAACCTTAACCTATACTATGAATGAATGTACAACGGGCCACTGTAGTGTTCTTCACAGCCTACCTGCATGAGATTTCGGTAAAGATTGTTTGTTTGTTTTGTTTTTTTAGTGTGCTAAGCAGCTATACAGATGATTATACATTAATGCCTTAAGTTTGCTCTGTGTAGGAACCGTTTCATCTCTACAATAAGCTGTGTTTTCTATTTATTTATAAATGTACGTTGTACTTCATTTTGGCTCCCTGGTTACAGAGTAAAGGTTTGTTCCTGACTGACGGGTCATCTGAGTGTTCTGTGAAGATGTACAAATAAATTTGTTAAACATTCACCCGGCTGTGTTTGCTCTCACACTCTTTCCCTTTTTACTGCACAACAGGCCTTTTTACAAAAATATTACTTCATTGAATAATGGTATCAAGCATTTTGTTAAGTTTTGTCTGCCATGTTCAACCCTAACTACTTTAACTCTTGATTGTTTTATTTACAGGTTTTCCACTTCATCTACATCTGGGGAATCCCAAAGTTTAAAAGCTGGATTGCCGAAATGGAGATTCAGGAAATCTGAAGCGCTGAATCTGATATTTTTATTCCTTTTTACAGAACAACAATATTAATAGTTCGGACAGATCATGTGGGCCAATGAAAGATTTTGTTAATGGAAGTCATCGGGCGAAACGTTGTGAACTCTGTACCTTGTAATATAACAATACCTTTTGTGTCCATGTGGAAGTAGGTGAGTAGAGGAAATGTTTAATTATAGAAAAGCATTCTGGTGAGCTGCATTTATATTCACACACAAAACCAGCACACAGAACATAGTTATATTTTATTTTGTATTGTTTCGTTTCGTTTTGAGAGTGACAGATTTCCAATCTACTTTTTTTCCATCCTCACATCTCTGAAGACCCAACACGACCTAATCACTCATTACTTTGATTTACTCAAAAGAAACGCTCAATCAGCAATTCTTTTGATAACAGTCTCGAGCTTTGTCATCAATTCAATCCTTTTTCAGTGCTTTCTGAGGAGTTACAGGACCAAAACAAAAATGCTTTTTATCACCTTAACTGCTTATTTTATTGACTTAACCCTTTTGTGTTTTAAATCTGCATTACACCCCCAAAGATGTCTCTAAGAAAATCCTTGCAATGCAACCTAGTATAAGAGAGGTCTACAAAATCAACCAAAAACATCTGTTGAGAGAGTTTGACAAGTGAGATCATTTTGAATGTAGATGTGGTTCCCTTGAGGATACATTTATCCCACCAGGTCTGTATCACTCCACCCCACCCCTTCTGCTGGGTACAGTGGGGTGAACTCCTCTGTGGCGGCCTTCGTAGGAGCTGCAGAATGGACCGGATTGAAAGGTTTCCAGGGCTTGGATGGGCAGTGGAAGGGGCTGTCATTCACAGCTTCTGTGGCCACATCAGGGGAGGTGGACATCTTGGGGGCTGTGGTGTCCTCCTCAGAGGATTCTTCTTTGGCTGAATCTTTGGTGGATGGTGCAGAGGGTGGAGCTGGAGGTGAGGGGGAATTGCTGAGCAGGATGTTTCTGAGTGGAGACCAGCCAGGAGGACGGCGCCTGGTGAAAATCTGAAGAACAGAATACCGGAAGACACTTTACAGTTAAAGTCAACATTTGGAAAGGTCAGAAAGCATAGCCAATCTCTTAATATTGGCAGCAAAATGGAGAAAAATAATTGTGCTTACAACCCATTTTATATTGTGACGCTATCTTTATCTATTATCATCGTCATACTTCTTGATACTTTACTCCATCTCATATTATTACTCAGCATGTTGTCTTTTGTTTGGTGCATAAACAGACTTCAATGTCAAACATTTCACTTTGAACATAACAATCCAGCATTTTAGCAGATTATAGTCATTCACATTGCCTCTTATCTAACAGAGTATTGTACTCCAAACAACGAATATCCCACAGGAAGAACTATAATCAACAATGTTTTTTCTCCATTTATACGGGTTTCAGTGGCATTAAAGTAAGAAAATTACTAACTCACAAAAGTTAACAACTAGCTGTTGAAGACCCCTTCACATAAAATAGTTAATGTACATTTAAATATATAGATATTTAAAATGGAATTTCTTTGCTTATATGCTTCTTAGAAGTGAGAGCTGACAAGTCAAACTTAATTAATACAGCTCATTTTAAAACATAAGAGTAAGAGATAAAGTGTGTCTCACCGGAGGCAGTGCCCCTGCTTCACACTCTATGTGGGGCTGTGGAACCTCTAATCTCCATTGTGCTACATCCACTGTAGAGTTACAGTTAGCATACTCCTGCACACATAAAACTCACACAGAGAGAGACACATCAGGTCAAAAATAAGCATGGATCATATTGTGTCAGCTGAAATATGTGTTTTGTGTTTACCGCATTCTGATCATCAGGGACACACAGATCGTTGAGGTCTTTGTGTTCGGCCTTGGCGCAGGTAGTCTTCTTCATATCAAACCTCAGCTTGAACCTGAAACCTGCCACCACCTACAGGGATACGTTCAGACAGTATGTAAGAAAGAAACAGTGGACATTTTCCCCATTTCCTCTCTCTTCTTATCAGCCAGTCTCTACCTGTCTGGTGGCGTAGCCGACACTGTACAGGGTGAACAAGTGAGTAGAGTCGGACATGGAGTTATACTTGGAGATGGAGACGGAGAGAGGAAACTTAAGGTCTTCTGAGTTCTCATCAACCTCCATAGGGCAGCCCAAACAGGGGGCTTTCTCTGGGATGATGACATCGTCTGGAGAGGAGAAAGATTGTGGAAAAGTAGAAAAAGAAAGAATGAGGGGACAGTAGATGGTTAAGGACATTCACCCTATGTTATTTATCATAACATTGATTTATCATCAATGTTATTTAGACTATTTTCTCCAGTGCAGTGCCCATCTCGAATGGGACGATTGCTTGGACCCTGGAAGTGCTACTTGCAGCGGTGTGAAGAAACTTTCAGTGAAGACGAATGCGGTTGTAATGTCACTCAGACATCATGTGTTCACATGTCCACCAGATGTGGCCGCAATAGCAGCATTTGAGCTAACTTTGAGGCCCAGCTATAGCAAAACTGTATGCAACATCAAAAATCTAAGAAAAGTTACTTTTTCCAGCTAGATGTTCTGTTGACGTTCTGAACCAAATTTGGTGACATTTGCTAAAATTTGAAGGAGAAGCAGCGGAAAAAGAAATTTGGACACATTTCATATTGGCGGAAAATTGATTGAGCGCCAAATGGGCGTGCCTTGTATGGATAGATTTGTCTGGACCTACAGAATGCAGGAAAAGGAATTTTTGTTTCCGAGACTTATGGTTTAATGAATATGTGATAATACTGTATGTTGTCTTGTGAAATAATATTAGGACTTTGGATAATGTTTCATACGGGGGATAGTTTAGGGGAAGACTATCTTCATTATTTAAGTGCTGTTTACTTAAAACCTCGGGTTTTACACCACACAACTTTTATTTCTTGAATGCCAGATTCCACTAAAAGTACACAAATTATTTTTCCAAAGCTGCAAAATATTTTGGAAGCTGAACAGAAAAAACATCTATTTTTTTTTGTCGGCTGAGAGTGGGCTGGTTAGATAAACAGATTAAAGTCTACACCGTCACTGCCTTTTATGGCGTGATAAGTTAATATTGCGCTCTCTCCACATAGTGTTGACACAACCTGCCCCCCCTCTGTATGCTCTGCGCCCACAAGTGTACATTTTTCCCAATGACTCACTGTTTTCTTAATGAGAAATGTGCTTCTCTTGGTTGACTTCATAAGTATATACCAGAGATTCCTGCTGTAGATACATCATCATACTATGATTGGAAGATCTGCAAAAGCTGTGGATTTTACTGGTTTTTCATTATATGGGGTGAGACTTGAAGGGCCAACTCCCCCAGTGAAGGCATCACATGACAAGCGAATTAATAAGTATTAATAAGTCTTGTGCAGCGCTTTTCTAGTCTTCCGAGCGCTTTAACACTACATGTCATCAATCACCCCCATTCATACACCAGGCAAGGTGCCACCGGCCCATCAGAAGTAACTAACATTTACACAACAATCACACACTGTGGGCACAGCGGGCAGCAATTTTGGGTTAAGGATACAGAGTTGAACCGCCGATCCTTTGATTGAAGGACAACCCTGCTCTACCACTGAGCCACAATCGCACAGACATCTTAAATTAGGTCCCAAATTAAAAAAGTTACCTAAAATAATCTTGTTTATTGAAAGACTCTTCATTTTAAATTCTGTTCAAGTTTCTAGCAAAGAACAATCACTTGTCTCTTTAGTGTCCCAGACTATTTCACACTACAGGAAACATGAGACGGGTGAAGCAAAAGGCTTCAACTTGTATTCAGACTCTCTGGACTTCTTGTAATACGTATGGGAATAGTTTGAGGCTTTGGTTTATATGCTATCACGCTTTCTTGCTGAGACTTAAATGAGAAGATTCTCTCAGGTTGTTTAACAGCAAATATGAAGCTACAGTTGGAAGCCAGTTCATTTTGCTGAGCTGAAAGACTGGAAAAAGAGTAAACAGCTGGACTGGCTCTGCCCCAAGGCAACAAAGGCTCACAAATTAACATTTGATATCTCTTTTGTTTAATATGTTAAAAGAAAGCCTAAGTTTAAAACTTAAGTTTTTTGTACGGATTCAACAAGATTTAACTTAATTAGTGAGATTTAGAGATGTTGGTTTGCAGCTTCTGTTAGCTTTTGAAAGAGCCAGGCTAGCAGTTTCCCAGTTTAACAGTCTTTATGCTAAGCTAAACTAGTTGTCTCCTGACTGTAGAGTCAGCAGATAATTAGCTTAGCATAAACTTCATATTTCATATTCATATTTAATCTACAGACACGAGACATGAGACATATCAATCTTCTCACCGAACTCAACTGCAAGAAAGCAAATTAGAATCTATTTCGAAAAAATGTTTCTCTGAACTTCTGATTCTGTGGTTATAGGATACTTGTGACATAACTGTTAAAAGCAATATTTAGATGCTGGGTTTGTTTTCACTCACCGAGCAGGCAATCCACCTGCTTAGTGTCTGCTTCAGTCTCTGTCATGTAGACTGTGGCATTGCATGAAATCGGCTTCTGGAAGGATAGCAACATAGATTATGTTCGGGTTATGATTTGTGTTATTAATTACTTTATAATCCAAACCTTTACTTTGCATTTTGTTCCCAACTTTAAGCAGCACAAGCTTCTCTTTGAGTGAAGGAAATCTGCAGCTTTGTTTAAGAATTGACATTAGAGATTATTGCCAATGTATTCTCCACAGACATCGATGGAGGACTGTTTTGAAAGATTGTGTCACTGCTAAGAACAACCTGAATATCTGCAGGAGTATTTCATCTTGTCATTATTAGGTTACCTTGCGTTCATAAGACAGATAGTCGCATTCTGTCCAGGGTTTGTTGCTCCCAGCTGGACAGTCACTCCTCCTGCTGGTGAACTGCAGCGAGTACACCGAGTCTGAGCCGTTCTCTGACTGTAGACACACACACACACACACACACACACACAATCAAACACACACAAACACACAGTGTGTACCAGAGGTTAAAGTGTCTAAACATGTTTTCCTAGAATTGATTGGTATTCCTCCCACAGCTTTAGTTCCCCTTGATTCATCACCGTTCAGTTCCAGCTCGGACATGTGACGTGTGGATGTTTTTACAAAGATAACGATCATCAACTCGAGCCACATCAGAATATTAAACACAACACTGAAAGAAGTTTTACATTCAATAAACGAATGTTTATTTACTTACAGAACTACGAATTTTAAATATTGGCAAATTACATCAATTTTTTTGTAATTTAATTAATTAATTTCGGATGAATTACGTCTTAATTTTCAAGATATCAGTTTGCAGTATTAAGGGGTCTTGGCTGTACTCAGTTCGGGTGAATAAGCAGAACTTTTTGTACACTGTACCTTACTAGCTGATAGTATATGAAAGAGGGCCAGCTTGTGTCCGGTGCTCAATCTCTCGTTGTACTTGTTCACAGCGCTGTTGACGGCATTCTCCACCGACGGGTCGTCACAGAAGATCAGGACGCCGGGCTGAACATCCAATGCCTCCCAGGAAAGAAGAAACAGAGGAAAATGCATTTCTGATGCACAAAATGAGCTATGATTTTTCCGAAGGCTATTTACTCCACTACATGTATCCTCACAGCTAAAGTTACTTTACAATTGCATGAGGTAAACTTAACTACAACATTGCAATGTTTCTTACATGTTAAAGCTTTAACAATATATATGTCCAATAACAAATATTTAATGTATGGGCAGTTCTGCTGGATAATGACTACTTTTACTTTTAATACTTTGACTGGGGTAACGTGTACTTGATGTACTGGAGGTACAATCATTTCCTACTTTTACTGAAATAAGACTTTAGATGAAGAGTGGAGTATTTCCATGCTGTGGTATTTCTGCTTTTACTGGAGTGAAAGACCTGAGCGCTTCTTTTCAACACTGAAATAAAGGACAAAGCAAGCGTGGCACATAGTGATCCAAATATGTAGGCAAATGTCAGATACATACATTTTTGTAATCCAATGGGGGAAATAAGAAATTGTAATAATGTATACAAGTACTGTCGTTCAGTACAATCTTGAGAAACTTGAAATTTACTTCATTTGATGCTACTTTGTACATTGATACATTTTGCTGTTAGTACCGTTCTTTTGCTTAAGTAAAGTTCTGAATGGAGGACTTTTACTTGAAATGGATTATTTTTAGTGTGACCTGAAATCTTCCACCACTGCTGTAACCCGTTCTCCTTACCTGCCCAAAGACTGAGCTGTGGAGGCACAGCAGGCCCAACACACACAGCCCCACTCTGCTCCTCATCGTCTGATCCTGATGGATGTTTGGCTCTGCTCTGCTACAAGGGAAGGAAATGGTAAATGTCACGCCAGTTGATGCACACTTTCAGCCACAGTTTATCATCGTTGGTGATACACTACTCACAGTTTCTGACGGGGGAAGCCTGCTGTAGACCCTGCTGGATTTAAAGAGGAAAGACTAGACTCCTTGCCACACAGAGAGTGAAGTTCTCCTGAAACTGTGGGTGGGAATCCTGAGAAAGATGATGACACACTGATAGACACATACACAGGGGGACTGGAGGGCACAGAGGACACACACACACAAACACACACACACACATTAATGCTTAAAACGCAGTCGGTAAAAGGGGAGTAAATGTTTGCTCTTTTGTTTGCCCTCCTACCTGTCAAGTCAATACAACAGTATCAGAGAGAGAGAGACGAGAGCATGTAAAGAGATGTACTAACTTCCTTCATTAGTGAGTTTAAAAGAGCAAACACTCTCCTAACTCAACTCACATACTCACAAATGAAACCACACAAAGTATAGTGTAAGGTAGCAGACAAATCGCTAACTCTAGGGTTTAGGGGCTACTGTGTGTGTGTGTGTGTGTGTGTGTGTGTTTGCTCGCTGTGTGCTTTGTGTGTTTTAACTGGTACTTTGTCCCTGTCGACCTTTAACCTATATCACTCTGATTTCCCCACTGCTCCTCTGTGAAGTGAGGTGAAATGTGCTCAGATGTTACACTCACATATAGATGTATCATGCAGACACTGTGTTAGCTTTGTCTGTGTGCAGTTACTGTACAGGATTACGCCAAGTTCATCAAGTACACCGAGTTCAGCCCACCTGTCAACTGATGACAACATGCCAAAATATTCCATGTGTCCCTGGCTGATCATTGGCTCTGTTACGCTTTAGCTTCAAACAGCTCTTGTAGTGATAGATGAGACAAAGCAAGCCTTTAATTTTGAGACTACATAAGAAGAAGGAATGTGTTCGTGTAAAAATCTAGACAAGAGCAGACGTCATAACTCTGCCCTCTTGTGGTCACACATGCACCAAGACATACTGAGCTATTGGGCACCGCAGTAACAAGTACAAACCCTGTGAGCCAGTGATTCCCAACATGGGCATCAAGACCTCCTCAAGAGGTGGCAAGTCTGAATCTGGGGATCCCACAAGATGCAACCAATTAGTCTGTGCAGCTCTTGGCTCTGGTGAGGAGGTTTTTAATGTTAATCAAGTTAGTTGTCTCTAACTTGACCCTAAGCAGAGCATGAGATGGACTTTTTTTCATCACTTTTATTTTCAACCAGTGATCACTCATCAAACGCATAAAGTTGAAGTTATGTCTGAAGTCGTCTCTGATGCAGCGACAGGCTGAGAGGCTCCACAGTTTGTCTGTTTAACTGACATGAATTTACCATCAGAGGTGTCAGTTCAGAGCTGAAAGAGGCAGCGGTCTCCCGGCCTGCCTTCTGTGACGATTCACTTCCTCTGCACGGCTCGTTTAGGTGTCAAGGTGTTCAACGGTTTCACATCTACAAGCCAAACCACAGCTGCAGCACTCACACTGCACTCATCATCTAGCATTCGTCTACTCTGTTATGTTCTTTTCTTTATTGAATATGATGCAAAGGGGTCAGACAGGTGGATGGTTTCTTTTCTTCCTGACTGCTGGTATTCCAGGTAAGTTTGATAACATTCAAATCTCATTTCACCATCAGATAACAGACTAAACTCTCTCAGCAGACTGTTCTCTGTCTCTTCTCCTTAACTCAGGTCAGTATTTAGGAGACTGTTAGATGCATAGTGAAAGGTTTCCGCACTTTTACCATCCAAAGTCTTTGTCACAAAAATGAAACAGCAAAATTAAAATACAGGTAAACTTACATGAGGCCATGCAGCACCAACTAACATTTAATCAAGTCTGTAATTATGTGCATGCATGCAAGGAGGTGAATAATGATGGGACATTTCTAATGTTTATTCATTACTTTATTCAGTTTGGTCTTTATAATGCGGTTTCACTTTCTCTTTAAGGAGTTGTTTTTCCTTGAGCATGTATGGTATGAGTCCTCTCTGCTCTGTGTCATAAATGAGGCTGTTCTGGTTTCCGCTCCCTCACAGTGGTCGTTGCTTTAGTGGTCTTCGTTGGTCTAAGCAGATGATCACAGTCCTTGTTTCACTTTTAGTACAGCATTGTCACCACTACATCCGCTTATTCATGTCCAAATATCTTAAAATTGAGTTTGTGTAAGAAAGAAATGATGTGCCGTTATCAAATTACTGGAATTGAGATACCTTAGTGTAAAACTGGTACTCTAGATGGAGGTCTACACAGAATTATTTTTACTGTATAATTACGTATCCAAAAAGTAAATGCTCTGTCTACAAAGAGGACAAAACTGTCAACACCGATGTTAGATGTGATTTTTGCTTTGTCTTCACACTTTTTGCAACATTTTCTGTTTGCAAGATTATGTTAAAGCTGGCTGGATTATCAAGTGGACAAACACCCTGTCATCCCAATGCTGCAGGGCCAACACCCAAAAGCACCAGGTCCACTGGGTGTAAACTAGTTGCACATAATTTGAGTTGAGAGTCTCTTCCTCCACCAGGTGTCCACCTCCTGACAGACAGCTCCATCCAGCCAGCCTCTGAGTCTGAGCTGCCCTCTGAGGCCCAGATATACCAGCCGGTGTTGCAGCCCTCTGAGGCCGTTCCTCTGATAGGTACACATTTATCATAAACATATTAAACAAAACTACCAGTTTCCACTGCCCATCTACTGTAAAAAGGATTTGCAAAGATGTTAAAAGAATGCCATTAGTAGTGATGGCTTTAATATTACAGCAACAATATACAGGTGTCTGTAAGACTGTTAACTTTAATCAATAATAAAAGTTAAAAAGATACACACAATTTAAAATTTGAAACTTCACGACAGCATAAAAAACTGTAAAATTGACATTACATTTCCAATTTGTCTTGCGTGTTAATATTTGTGTGTGTGTGTGTGTGTGTGTGTGTGTGTGTGTGTGTGTATACAGGGACCTATGTGGTGACAAACCTTGTTGGAAAACCTTGTATCAAAGCCACCATGGGAGCAGAGTACATTGTCAGTGAAAAGAAGGTTAGTGCTGTGACTGGCTCAGCACTGTGTGTGTGTGTGTGTGTGTGTGTGTGTGTGTGTGTGTGTCTGTCAGGGTTGTTAAGTTGTGAATAGTGTGCTGCGTGTTTGCCTCAGTGTGTATCTATGTAGTTCAGCACGTTTGCGTCATGTCTTTGTAAGTGTAATCTACAATGACCATCAGATCCTATATACACATATGTGTGTGCTTTGGATGAGGTTAACACATATCTACATGTAAGTTCATACTCTTAGTGATGAGTGTTCGTACAGTCACATTTTGGCAAAAGTTAAACAATATGGTGAGAAGACACTGTCTGGTAACATGAAGTAATATTTCTCTCCTGTGTGCATTCAGAAGACTTGGTATTTCAACCTGGACCCCTCCAGGGTCAGGACCAGTGGATACTGCGGTAAAGGAGCCGCTGCTCTTTCTCTCACGCTGCCAGACGATGCTGCCAGTCTGCAGTTCACCTTCAGAAAGGTACAACACATTTAACAACAAACTTCACATTAATCCTCTCTTTGCATGTTCTCCCCATATCAGCATGAACTTTCTCCCACAGTCCAATGATTTGTGCGGAATATACTGTAACTAAATACTAAGTACTTAAGTACAAAGTCAAAGTAATTGTACTTTGCTCCTTTACTTTTACTTTAATTGTACTTTACTTTTTGCTCCTCCACATTTACAGATTAGATTTTTTTCTGATAAACTGAAGGCTGAAGTTCCTTTATGGATTGAAAAATGTTTTCCAACTTCATAAAATAAATGAACTATTTAAAAATCCTCTTGGATCAGCTGGAAAATGCATTGTCACAAAGCTGAAAACAGAAAAAGTTGACTTTCACTTGATAGCGACGCTACAAACACATGATCATCTTACAGAGAGTATGCATTGTCGTAGATTAAATTCCCCAAATGAGTAAAATTAGCACAACCTTAAACAATTACAGCTAAATGCAACATACACATCGATTCACCGTTATATTACACATAATAATCTACAGTAATGATAAAACACTGGCAAGGACTCCTTTTTCTGCATTTTTCTACTTTTGATACTATAAGTAAATATTGCTGATAATACTTACTTATTTTTACTGAAGTAAATGTTTGAATGCCAGACTTTTACTTGTACCGGATTATTTTCATGACGTGGTTTTAGTACTTTTACTCAAGTAAATGATCTGAATACTTTTTCCATCACTGTGTTCATGTTAGGTTAACTGGTAACTGTAAGTAGAGGCGTCATTGTGACTCTGACTGGTGGTCTAACGATACCGTATGTGTTAGTAGAACCTGTTCAGGGTGTCCAGAGACATTTAACGATATACTGCATATAATCCTGTAATGCAAAATTATTCCTAGTTTAATAAACACCATCTGTGTTTTTTTTACGAACACGTATTCTAATGTTGAGGGTACAAAAGTGAAACCACTCAAATTGTTCAGGATTAATACTGCAGCTCTGTCACAAGATGAACGTAATAATCAAACCTATGACCAGTGTGATGCCCTGCATGTTCAGAAAAGCAGCCATTGTGATAAATAATAGAGATGAGACATAAAGGCTTCCTTCTTCACCTGAAAAAAAAGGATTTGAAAATGCGTCATCAAAAGTACAACAAACAACAACATCACCAACTGTTCAATCATCTCATGGTGGGAGATTCAGCTATGTCAAGATGTCATAGGAACACAATCCATTTGCACAGAGCATCAACGTGTCTTCCAGTTTCACAACCAGATCAAGAAGTTCACAACAAAACAAATGTTTGTTTGGCAAATATCTGTAAAAAAATCATGAATTTCAGAAGGAATCACTTGTATTTCTGTCTCCAGGAAAATGATATTTTCTATGTCGACAAGCTGACTGCTCATGTGTCTCCTTTGCCTGTCTGCCAAGGATGTGCCAGTAAGTCCACATAGCGAGAGAAATAAGAAGACAGATATACCATTGAGCTGGTATTTCTACACAAAGAGTGTAACTGTCCCGTCTTACACCCTCTTCCTCCCAGACAAGACGTACTCGGGTTCGTTGGCTCAGGAAAAGCTGTTCGCAGCAGGTAATGGACAGAGCTTCAAGTGCCAATCTGAGCAACTGCTTTGGACGTCGCCGGAGCTGAGGATCAAGCTGGTTCCTCTGCAGATGCAGGCCTTCACTCTGCCCAACGGACAGTATGGAATAGGTGACTGAGCAACTCATGTGGGTTCAGTGATGCAGGGGTGAATTAAGTCTGCTCCACAAATTTACCTTAGTGTACGTGGTTTTATACTGCTCTAGTAGATCTAGAATTATAACCACATTTAGAAGCTGCAGAAGCTCGAAGAATCAGTATTGTTTGGGGAAAAAACAACACTTGACTTATAATTTTCTTTATTGGACAGATACACCTTCAGCTCAGCATGACAGTCTGCTCTGTGCTTTCTCTCTGGTGTTAATACCAAGTAAAGCACATGGACAAACATTTTCAAATTGATATGGGCTTGTTGTCTGCCATTCATCAGGTCATGTTGTTATCTACAAAGCTCTATAAATGCTATAAAACAATGATTGCTAACTATGATTTCTTTAAGGTTTTATTGTTTATTTCTCACAAACATCTGGGTCAGACGCAGGGAGTCGGGCTGGATACAATAAATAAAATCTGATGGGAAAGCCTGGTTGGTGACCCTTTTTATCAATATAGAAGATAAAGCTGTCTGGATATACTACAAGCTTCCCATCTTAGAGGATGACATTTTAGAGCAGCAGATGGTGTGATAACTTGTTGTCCTATTGGACTGTTTAAGACCAGTGAGAATCTGCTGCAGAAAAAGAAATGTCCTGAAACTAAAGCTAATGGTTTAGTGCTGCTGTGCACTAAATCTATAAATCTATAAATGATGGAAGACAATGTTTCAGCGTAAAGTCCTTTGTTTTTAAATTATTGGCCTGTTTCGGCTTCCTGCATTTTGCTCTCCTCCTGTTGTATGTTACAGAGGTGGAGTGTCGGCACGACTTTAACAAACGAGTTATCCCCATCATCATCGGGGCCGTAGTGGTGGGTCTCATTCTGATCGCTGTGCTGACCTCCCTGTTCATCAAAGACCGCCACAGACAAGGATACACCAGGCTCTGAGCTCAATGTGAAACTGGATGGAGATTTACTCAATCTGATAAATATTTTATAGTTACTGTCACAAAAAGTTCTTAAAATTGCTCTCCTTAACTCAAAAGTTACTTTTTGCTCCTGGGATTCTCCACATAATAAAAAAAGAGTTCTAATAATCTCACAATCTTCAATTCTGCTTTCAATGAAACTTTTTTGTTCACTGCTGTTTGTTGTGTGATACTCTGATTTGTTGCATATTCAACATCTATTTCATAAAAGTGAAGTGGGCAGAATATGTATTATATAGCCTAATTTAACAACATAAATGAAACAGACTATTGTGTAGTGTGAGTTATCATAACACAACTCTTGACCCTAAATGGCATAGGACTGCAAAATGAAGTTTTGTAGCATCTTTATCCGTTAGCCTTGGTTGGTTGTAGCAAGCAAGAATTTTTTTTGAATCAAACACATTTTGTTTTTAACTATACAAATACAAAGCTCAAACATATTGTAGTGTGTATGTTCAATCATTTTATATATTTTTATTTATTTATTTTCAGAATTTCTGTGTTAATTTACTTGCAAGTATTCTTGTTAAAAGTAAAATAAAATAGGTTTTATTTTATTATTCTGAATGTGATTTCCCTTTACTAACTGTAGTTCACCTCCAGTTTGACAGAGAAACGCTGCCCTCTGCTGGTGACTTATGGTCACTGCCGCTTCTTCCTCCCCACCTCCATATCCTTCTTCCTCATTGGCTACTCGATACTACGAGTCCTTGGAAAGGTCATAAAGGATAATGCAGATATTTACAAGCGTGTGGCAGTGTTTATTAGTGCGGGTGTAATAATTTAAGGCCCCAAATATGTAAGTTTGGTTCAAGTTAAGTGTTTTGCTGCAGTTAATATAGAACCAAGCGGTGTATGAGCTGTTTCGTTAATTCCCCACTTCGCCTTTTCCTCCTCAGCTGGTCAGTCAGTGAGTTAGCTAGCTAGCGGTTAGCCTCAGCAGCTGGCAGATATGGCTGCAGTTATTCTGAGTTTCCCAACTCTGCAGAGTCTGAGGATATTTGCACAGTGAGTACATCAAAGCGTTACGTGGCTGTTAGGATTTTGTGTGATAACAGACTGCCCCCTCCAACGTCATCTCCCACCAACCAGCTCCTTGTTAACGTTAGCTTACAGCTAAAGCTTCACGTCTGAGCTAGTTAACTTCACAGATGCACTGTAAACATAACATTGTTAATTACCAGCAGCTGATCATCATCCCAGTACAGGACACAATCACGTCATTTGGCCCCACAGTACCAACGTGTTGATACAATTATTTATTTTTTGCCATTATGGGAGCTAATAACTGATAAAGGCTGAGCAAGGTTAAACAACTGTAGCAGACTGTTAGCTAGCATGGCTCATGTTGCTGGGACACCATGCACACTGTTGTGTATTTGTATATCACAGTCAGCTGTTGCTTGTTTTACACTGTATGTGCTGTTTGATAAATGAGCATGTCGTCCATTTAACATCTGCCCTTCACAGTCACTTAGAGATTTAAATGGCACTGACATTGTTGTCTCCTCTTCTCAGAAACTTGTCATGGACAAAAAGAGGCGTGAGGCTTGTTTCAGGAGGTGAGTGAAGGAAACAGTCCAAAACCAAAAGATGTTGACTTTATAATTTATGTGAAACAGAGGAAAACAACATCCTCACGTTTGAAAAGCTGAAGGCAGAGAATATTTTGTGCTTGATGATAGTTAAAGATAGTTGCTGATTAGTTATCTGACTATTGTGTTGTGAAGTACATTTTAAGAATGTTTTGGTATTTCGTGAGGAGCTGTAAAAATGTCTACTGTGTCTTCTTCAGGGGTGGGAAGGATAGAGAAGGTGCTGATTGCCAATCGAGGGGAGATTGCGTGTCGTGTGATGCGCACGGCCAAGAAGATGGGCGTCCGCTCGGTGGCTGTGTACAGTGATGCAGACAGAGACTCCATGCACGTGGCCATGGTGAGATGCCGGATAGCTCTGTCTCGTAAAGAGCTTTGTCATTGAGTTATTTTGAGCTTTCCTCAGCTGCTTTAACAAACACAACGAGGAATGAGCGTGTTAACGTTTTTTCCAATTGAAAACAGTCTGTTTCTGCTCTGTTTCTGTAGGCAGATGAAGCCTACCACATTGGCCCTCCACCCTCCCAGCAGAGTTACCTCTCAATGGAGAAAGTTTTTGAAGTAGCCAAGAGGTCTGGATCACATGTGAGTCTACTTGAAGTGGACAGTTTGTCCTTATTTTCTTGCTCAAAAGAGTCACTTCTAAAGGAATAATAGACGTTCAGGTCTCTTTAACCCCTTTAACTGTACTTTGTGTTGAATATTCTTGGGCATTGACATTTAAATGTGATGTTTGTGTGTGTGTGTGCGTGTGTGTGTGTGTGTGTAGGCGGTCCACCCCGGTTATGGCTTTCTGTCAGAAAACACAGAGTTTGCGGAGGCGTGTAAACAGGAAGGCATCATCTTCATAGGGCCGCCTTCCTCTGCCATCCGAGACATGGGCATTAAAAGGTAACCCACACAAAACGCATCCAGTTATATCCACCTCCATTTGTTTCTGATTAACATGAACTGTTACTGATCCCAGTGGAGGGAGTGGTGGAGTGCAGGGACAACAACTTATGGAATACAGCAAGAAACAGTTGAATAGAAACATAAATGCATTAGGAGAAAAGCAATAATAGCAACATGCATCATTCACTTTTTATTGATTTCTCTCTCTTTTATCAGCACATCCAAATACATCATGTCAGCTGCTGGGGTGCCAATCATTGGTGGCTACCATGGAGAGGACCAATCAAACGAGAGGCTGCAAGCAGAGGCTGCCCAGATTGGATACCCTGTGATGATTAAGGCAGTCCGTGGAGGAGGCGGCAAGGTGAGAGGACGTGAAAAGGCCTAAACAATTCTGACAAAGTAACTTTTGGAAACATAGGATAACCTTGTGTGTGTGTGTGTGTGTGTTTAGGGGATGCGTATTGCACGGTCAGAGTCAGACTTCTTGGAGCAGTTGGAGTCGGCGAGACGAGAAGCCAGGAAATCCTTCAACGATGATGTCATGCTGGTTGAGAAGTTCGTAGAGGATCCCAGGTATTAAAAATAATTAATTTGACCCGCCAGCCAGTTCTACCAGCTTCTTATTTTTATGTGAAGATGAAATAGTCTTTTTGTTTCTCTTTCTGTCCGTCTCCCATAGACATGTGGAGGTTCAGGTGTTTGGGGACATGCACGGTAACGCTGTCTATCTGTTTGAGAGGGACTGTAGCGTCCAAAGAAGACATCAGAAGATCATAGAGGAAGCACCAGGGGTGAGGAACTGTACACAGTTGCTGTGAATGTGCCTAAATCACAATAAGTTTGAGTGAATTTAAATCCTGACATTAAATCCTGACATTGCCTACTATAGACCCATTTTTATCTTTTTTAAGGGGGGGGTCTTCAGGGGGACATTGCAGGTCAGCAGTATATGCCACATAGAAGTGGTGTACATTATCTGAAATGATCTGTAATAAACATTGTGTGTATAAGGGCTTAGAACATTATGATAGAAGTATATGATAACCATCCCGTGCTCTATTATGTCTCACAAGTTGCTGCAGAATATTTTGAGTTGATTCCAATTCTTACACACATTTTGTGTTACATTTTTTACCACTCGAGAATTAATAGAAATGGTCAACAATGCCTCGAAAATACTACATTAAAGCACCAAGATCTTAAGAAACGCCATCAACAAATCCATTCTGTGATTTGGTATCTAACACGTTTTGACATTTGGAGATTTCTTTTTTTTTTTTTTTTATTTCTTGGCGATTGGATGGGGAGCACTTACTGTCAATATACCTCGTTAAGCCATACATCCGCTGAATGCCCAAAGTCTGTGGTTGTAAAGTCACAGACTTCAGTCCAGACTTCTGTTAAAAAGGAATCCAGAAGCTGGATATTAGGGCTACTATGACTCAACTGTTGACTGTATTTTCATCTGTTCCTATATGTGTGTTTTCAGCCTGATATCAGTGCTGAGGTGCGGAGGAAACTTGGCGAGGCAGCCGTTAAAGCGGCCAAGGCTGTCGACTATGTCGGAGCAGGTGAGACACACAAACACTCACCACAGCGCCACAGGCCCCACGACACACAGTGTATAGAGACATGATGGTGTTTGTCTCCCCGTGTAGGTACGGTTGAGTTCATAATGGATGCCCAGCATAACTTCTACTTCATGGAGATGAACACCAGGCTGCAGGTGGAGCATCCTGTCTCTGAGATGATCACTGGGACTGACCTGGTGGAGTGGCAGCTCAGGGTGAGAGAGGAGGGACGGAGAAAAAGTCAAATGAAACAGGAAGTTGAAAACATTCCCTTTTGCCAATAAGAAGTTTTGAATCTCCTCCAGGTGGCAGCAGGGGAGCGCCTGCCTCTCCTCCAGGATGACATCATTTTAAGGGGTCACTCTTTTGAGGCTCGTATCTATGCCGAGGACCCAAACAACGACTTCCTTCCAGGGGCGGGGCCTCTGCTGCATCTCTCCACCCCTTCAGCAGACCAACACACGCGTATAGAGACTGGAGTCAGGGAAGGTAGGGGAGTCCAGATCTAACTCTCTGCTCGTGTTTACATGAATACTTTTACATTATTTATGTAACAACACTTAATGTTTTATTTTACTGAATCAAATTAGCTGCAAAATGATTCTGGGAGATGCCATGTAGAAACCACAGCTAGGAGGGCTCGCACAGCACTCACTGTCCATGAGCACACATCACCAATATAGTGTGTGTGTGTGTGTGTGTGTGTGTGTGTGTGTGTGTGTGTGTGTG